GGAGCGGGCAGAAGCAGAAGCCGTTGCGGGCGGCGGTTGGCGCGGGCCGAGGCGCCGCGGCCTGTGTCAGGGCCCGCCATGGCCGCGCAGGCCCCGCGGGGCCCGCGGTGGCGCTTTGCTGYGCCCCATGCCGGGCCAGGCCGTGATGGCAGCGCTGTGCTGCGGCACGGCCGTGCCCGGCCGAGTCCGGCCCAGGCTGCGGGCCCGTCCCACCACCCCAGGAACAGCCGGGGGTTAAGGACGGGCAGAACCCCAGCAAGGGTCCTGGGGGCCTCGGGATCGCACAGTGGTTGAGGTGGGAAGGGGCCTGCACTGATCATGTGGCCCGATCCGCTGGAGGTGCTGCCTCCGTGGGCTGTCTCCAGCGGCTCTGCCGGACCCCCGGCGTGGCAAAGGGTCAGCAGCTCCATGCATCTGTGTAGAATCCCCAGTGGGAATTCAGGTGTCGAGCATTCCAGGAGCAAAGTCCAGGTTATGGTCATACGCGATCTTGGGATTTTTTTCCCCTCCAGTGACTCAAAGGGAGCACTGAGGTTCAGAGGTTGTTTTAAGCTGAGTGTAGAAATGCAAGGCCCCGTTAGGAGCCGGTGCCTCAATTTGCCCTACTTGGCGTGCATTAAATTGGTGATACAAAACATAAAAGCACCTGTCTTTAGACCTAGTGCCTTAAGCTTGCACTGCTGCTTGTGCAAATAGTCCCATTTCAAAAGCAGGTGGAAAACGGGGCTGGGAGGGGAACACAGAGCGGGGACAGCACGTGGGGCACAGCACATTCCAGAGGGAAGAGGTGGGAAAAGTCCTGTAAAAGGCAAAAAAACAACTTGGGCATTCGCATTTGCTTCTCCTTTAAAGCTGCAGCTTGCAGCAAAATTAGTCATCTGTGGTGTAGGTGTAATGCTTGCACCCAGGAGCACCAGCAAGTTCCTTTTTCATAAACTACTCGAGACTAGTTATAGTGACTGGTTACAWTCCTTCTCACAGTTTGTGGGCAGAATCTTTTTAAAGTTATTTCCTCCCCTCCCCGCTGCTGTGAGCTTTGGAGGGAGACTAGTTAAACTCAGGCGTGGTGTCAGCACCTGCAGTCTTTTTCTGCCCTGCTTTGTCTTCCTGTGGTTTCATTTGCTGCGAGTAATTGTCAAAACACCTTGTTACCACACTTCCTCTTTGAAGCTAGGGCAGAGGGTGCGAAGCAAAAGGATATTTGGGGTTGGCCCTTAAAAGGAACTTCATAGGTGCTTTTTCTAAAAAAAAAAAAGAAATGACAAAATGGGGATGGTTTCAAGCTCTGTACCATTAGTAAGCGGTTTTATTCTAACGGTGCTCTCCGTTTGCAGTGTGGTCTGTTGGCATCAGCTGAGGTAAATTCTGTCTCACCCCTCTTTCACCACTGCATGCAAAGGGCTTGGGGAACCGTGAAAAGAGTTTTTTCCTTATTCCTGCTCTGTTTGTTTCTTGCCGAGAAGTTAATGCCGTTTCGGTAGGAGAAGTGCTGGCAGTGCGGCATGGGGTTTTTCACTGTGTCAGCTACTGCAGAAGAACCTTTTGGAGCCGTGAAAATGGCCCTCTTGCTTTCCACCCTGAATATATTCCTCTTTTTTTTTTTTTTTTTTTCATTTCTTGATAAAAATTTAAATTTTTTCTAACAGAGTTAAGATCAAAGTGTGTATATCAAGTGTGAAAGATGAAGAATAGAGCAAGAAGTTCGGCATGAGAGTGTTAAGTGTTCTTGAAACGTGGGTTGTATTACTACTCTGCGCTGACTTCAGAGGTTTTAAATGGGACAAAGTGTGTCTCTGTGTGTCTTTTGCCTTTTTGAGTTTTTGCTTTGTTTCTGTCTGGTGTTCTGCCCCTTAAAGAGCACCATGAAACACGTCAGGAGCAAAGACGGAGGGCRGCGGAGCTCCTGCCTTGCTCTGGGCGCCGCAGCCAGGGTCCCCGCTGGGTCTCTCCTCCCGTGGGGTGCAGACAGAGCAGCGCGGCGACTCCTGCAGCGTGGCCGGGTGTTCACGAGGCACCAGGGCCCCTGGGCGAACCCGGGCCCTGGGCTCATCACCTGGCGGGTCCTGGCAGGACGACYTCTACGGAGCTTCCTTAAACCAGCAGCTAGGAGAAGCAGAACGGGTTTCTTTTTTCGATTAGTTTCTGTTTCAACACACTCTGTAAACAAGCTGCTAACAGGGTAAAGGAGCTACCAGCATTCTGTGCTGTTGGTATCTCTTTTTGCCCTCAGCTTTACGGCCTTTTTTTTCTCTCTTCCCCATTCTGATGATTTGGCTTTTTATATCAACTTGTGTGCTGTAAAGATCTTGCTGTAAAGATCCTGTGCCTAGCAGCGGGGCCTGTAAAACTGCAGCACTCTAACAATTCCTTCTCATTTCTTATTTGGCTCTTCTAAGAGCTGGAATCGCTGTCATTTCTTTCCAGACTTCCAGACTAGAAATTATTTCACCCCACTGGCCTTTCCTTAAGCAATGAAAAACTCCTTCTGTAGCAGCACAACACTGAAGCTGAATGCAGTACTGTATATTCCATAGAAGCTAAGGTACATTGTTAAGGAAGCATGTATTATTGACGAGTATTACTCATCATCTCAGTGCATGTGGACCAAGAGCACATGTGATATGGGCAGGAATTCGGGAGCTGCAAATCAAACTATCATATTGCTTTTCCAGCAAGAGAAAATTGGTGCAACTCGTCTGTTTATAGCTCCAACAGGTTGCCATCCCTCAGACTCTAAAATTGTCCCTCTGAGCACTTGCTTTCTCCCCTTAATTTGCTTAATCCGAGTGTCTGGTGTTAGAGAAGGACTAGTTAGACTGCTGTTTTTCAACTTGGAGCATAAAAAAAGTCAAAATTTGAATAGTTACAGGACTTGCCCACACACTAACTTCAGGTTTAGCTATTGAATGTGATCCAGTCTGGAAGCAAAACGTGACGCATGCAGGTTCTGAGTCCGTGGAGAGCATCGCAGTATTCTCCCTTTTCAAAGCCTTGCTGTGTTGGTCCAGTGTGTGTTGATTTGAGCTGATCGAGGCTTTAACGTCCATCTGGAAGAAGTGAGAATACGGAGTGAAGCTACCTGCTTGCTAAGCAAGAATGACCTTTCACATATGAGCCTGTATCCTTGCACTTTACATGGTCTGATAATTCACATTGTATGGGTTCCTGGCTTCTGTGAAAATACACGTCATTGGCATTGCACAAATGCGACTTTTCGAAATATAGCTGCCAAAAGAAAAGCTCTGCAGAGGTCTTTTTCTTTTCTTTTTTTGGGGGGTCTACCACTGGATGTTCTGGTAAAATTGCTCRCCATGGTACGGTATTAGTAATAAGGAAAAGCAGCAAAATATCTCCTGCTTTGCCTGCTTGATTTTTATGCAAAGAGTAATAGACAAGGACACAAGTTTACTTGAAATGTGGCCTGTTCAAAATGGGGAAAGGCAAGTGCTTTTGCTAAAGCTCTGCTGCTCAGGGGGTGTTCCTGCAGCAGCTATTTATTGGTTAAGTAGTCCCTGGTCAGTAACAGTGGGGAAGCCCCTCGTGGCTTTGGGCTTGCACGGGGAGGGAACCGCTGTTGGTGCTGTGTGTGTGTGCACTGTGGCCAGTGACTATTGCTTGTAACCTGGAGAGGTGTGTGCAGCAAATCTGGGACCTCCTGGCTGCAGATCTGCAGCGTGTGGAGAACTGGTGAAGAAGGCGAGTGGGAGCCCCTGCCCCGGCACAGCGTTAGCTCATGGAGGCCGATGACAGACGGCCTGCAGGAGCGTCCGTAGGCACGGGGGTGATACCCCCCATGGAGCCCCCAGGTCATTTGGCAGTGTGAAGTATTGCGTGCAGGTCATAGTACAGAGCTATGGATGGACACTTTCCATGGATGAAGACACAGTCATACATAGAACTGTTGATAAGTATAAATGAGTATAAATGTAAAATTTTCTGAATACTCTTTGCTTCATTCCCATTTATTTTACAAAGTAATTGTGAGGTGGAAGGCAAGACAAATGACTGGAGTGAAATCTCTTAGGCATTTTTATTGCCCTCTTCCTGCGGGAAACTGGGTTGGAGTTTAACCAATAAGCTCCAGTTTAGTGAAAGGACGGTTGGAATCCAGAGCCTCAGTTGCTCCACATGAGGGATTTTAGAGGTTTGCAGAAAGTATTCAGCCTGGACACGTAGTTTATTTCAAACTCGGCCAAAGTAGCAAGGTGAAGAGAGGGAAGGAGAGGACTGTGTGCTGACAAACCTGCCCTTCACACGCGTTGTCAGAATATAGAGGAGGCTTTTTTGGTGTCTCCTCCCCCATCCACCCACTCCCAATTCAGAAAAAAAATTGGCTTTGTCAGCTGTGCTGCAGGGCTGTGGTTGGATGGCATTTAAACATTGCTCTGTGAATGGACTGGGTGATTTTTCCTCTGGGAAATCGATGGTTAGCATTCCTTAAGAAGCTCAAGGAGCGTGTGGTCAGCTGCCCCTTCTTAAAAAGACATTCCCAAATTTGGAATAGATAAAATGGATGGCTGGTAAAACATCAAACTGCAGTTATTGACACCAGTTCCTCTGTGCAGAGTGAGGACAGGAGCTGAGCTCCCTGTGGGCTTCTGGTGTGTGCTGTTTCCAGCACGAATGCAGAAGCAGGCGGGTGGCTTGCTTGCTGGTGTGTCCGCGCTGTAGCCGGAGATACCACCAAGAAATCATGGTGGTAGGCAGCAGCCTGCCCGTGTGAGGTGCCATAGCTGCTTTCTTGCTAATGTGATGTACCTCTCTGTTGAACTCAGGTTCACGTAACGCCCGGGGACCAGGGACGCACACGTAGCACTTGTGTGGTGCTGGGACCGACCTTCTGAAGGAAGACTCTCAAATACTGCTTTTTATCTTCATCCTGGGACTGACTTGTCTTTGGAGAAGAGCTCGACAGAGGAAAGAGATTTTTACTTCGGAGCCTTTATAAGTGAATTTATTTAAAGAACTTGCTGGAGACCCTTCTGCAGATTGAGTCCTGCTCTTCACCAGTGTTTGCACTTCAGACTGTAAACAATGAGCGAGTTCTGGTTGTGTTTCAACTGCTGTATTGCAGAACAGCCCCAGCCTGTAAGTATGAACATTGGCTCTGTTTTGTTGGTGCATAATTAACTGCATTGTTCACTTTTTCTGGTCATGTTTTAGCTCCTTAAATGAGCGCAGCTGAACTAAGCTCAGTGAGAATTGCGGAATTACCTACCATTTTGGCTTAGCTGGGACAGAAAAATGTCTGTTCTAGACTGATGTCATGCAAATATTTTCTTAATCTTAAATCTGTCCAATGTCTTTGAAAGAGCTTTTATATTTTTGAGTTGCAGAGAGGGAGAAAGGGGAGGGTGAGGAGGGACTGAAACTGTCACTCTAAAAGCCACCAAACAGCAGGTGGAAATCTGGAGTTCTAATGACTCTTGGTATTGTTTAAGGCCAGTCTTCATGTATGGGTGGGTAATGCTGACAAAATAAAATATTTTTTTCTGAGAAACAGAGGCTGTAACGGCACGCACCTTCCTTGYTCAATGGAATGAAGTTAGGATTTCAACCGAGGACATTTTGGTGACCTGGCATGAATTTTGAGAGAATGAAGGGATGCACAAATACCACAAATACTCCTTTTTTTCTAGGATTTGGAATGACTGTAGTGTGACTGAGCACATACTGAACAACTCGATAAAGGAACAGCTCAAAGCACTGAATGAAAGAAGGGTGCAAAAATACAGAAATGTTCTTGTGGTTCATACACCTGCRGAGTAGCTTAGAGGATGTTCTTAAGCTTGGTGCTGTCAAGAGAAAATCTTCAAGGGGAGTTAACTATGAGCTTGATTAACACCTGAGAAAAATGTTTGTATTGAGTGCAAGCTAAATCAAGCTAAGTGAATGATCAAAGAAAATGAATTTATCTCCATACATCCATGGCCAGATGGGCCATGCATCTCCCAAAAGCATGTGGAAAAGATCTCAGTGCCTTGTAAAGGATGCAACAGGATCTCAAAGTGACATTAGTGTTCTCAGATGATAATATTTCTGTTTAGGAGAGGTGTAGGATTGCAAAACCTAATGTCTAATAATTTAAGGAAGAAGACGGAAATCATAGTTGCGCAGAGCCGAACAGCAAGACTAATCTTTAATTGATAACAGAAATGTTAGAAATGTGACCATGAACGTTTAGAACAAATAAATGCAACTTTATCTCACCTCTACTACACGCAAGGAGAAGGATTTATCTCAGATAGCAACATGAGAAGTTGGAGACCTCTCCTGTGCAGCCTTAAGAATGTTATTTACAAAGTTTGGAAAGCATTATAGTTTTAAACTGAAAAGAAGATATGTGGGGTTTTTTTTGTTTGGTTTAGAGGTTTTTTGCATCTTAAAGACATAAAATGAAATATAGTGTCTTTTGTGTAATGCCACCCAAGATGTGTCTTGCTCCTTTTTATGATACATTTAAGCTGTTGCCCAGGAAATATGTGGTATGTTGATGTGGCATTTAATGATCTGTGGCTCGTGACTCCTGGAAATCATGGAGAATGCACTTCAAAGGCAGGGAGAGGGGGAATGACCCTTTTTCATATATTCCTGTTACTCTGGAGGTGTGGGTTTCCTTAGAAAGTTAAAACCATCCCTACTTTTGAGATACAGGTAGCGCTTTGTTAAGCACTGGCCTAATTCCTGAAATCTGCCATTCAAATGCTGTAGGAGGCTGCTCATTTCTGAAGTGCCAGAGCTCTTCAGGAGGCCTCTCACAAGGTCACTGTGGATACAGGTGTTTTGCTGTCCTCTCCAGCAGAGTTTTGCAGCTTGTTTTACTCGACGTGGCTTTCTGCGGCTCTTTGGCCATGCACTGCTGCATAAAGTAGAGTATTTAATCAGGTACATATACATATACATCTGAATGAGTCCAGGAGTATTTTTGCTCCAGGACATACGTAGCAATGCATATACCATTGGTGTAAGCGAAGGAATAAATCAGTGTAGTTGTAAGGAAGCGGTTGCCTTTGATTTCTTTAGGTGCTGTGGGATCATGTGTTCAGCGGATGAAACACACTGACTTTTAGTGCAATGTTACAGGTACTTACTGCCCTACTGAACCACAAGGTAAAGGGAGACTTGCACCCTTGCAAAAATGCTGCTTCCCCTGGTGTCCATTGCATTTGCCACCTGGATTTGTTGCTGAGGARGAGCTGTCTCCTGTCTGTTCCACATGTCATCCTGGCCCTGTCTGGTGCATCTTGGCTTTCTGCATGGCCCCACCGACAGCGTGGCAGCTCTCATGTGGAAGCCCAGCCCTTGGATGGAACAAGCTGCCTTTGTCAGAGCATAATAGGAACACCATAGCAACACTAGCAACCGGTCTTTCAAAATAAAGACCTTCAAAGCAGGATGCTGCTTACTCTGTTGCATGCTGAAAATGCTTCTTTGATGCAGAAACTTGGCCTTTTCTGAAGTATTGATCTTTTTCCTTATAACCTTTTCGCATGCTGATATCTAGGACACCGTGAATACCATGGACCAACTTTAACATGGGCGGGGGGAGTTATTTTTTGCTTGCTTTTTTTTTCAGTTCAGTGGAGGGCAGAGACAAACCTTGAAGGAACTGTGTGTGAATGTCTGGTTATTTATAGCATCCATTAAATGATGGGTTTTCAGTCTCTCGCTCAGTCCCAGARGCAGGAACAGTCTGTTGCTTCCTTCTGGAAAAAATCCAGCACTATTGTGTTAGTGGTCTTCAATATGCATCTTCATCTTATGCAGCTATAGTGCACTTAAAATGGAAAAAAAAAATATGCACAGAGGCCTTTCAATGAATTTGGTAGAAAACTGTTATTCATACTGTATGCTAAGATGTTTTTTAGCCATTTCCGATACTCTAAAGGCCTTCCAGGACTGTGTATTTATTCTTTTCAGTGAGTTTTCATGAGTTTGACCCTGAGGTGCTCCTGCAGAAGACAAAAATGTGCATTCAAAGCTTTTTAAGTAATGTGTGTTTATTGCCATCAAGTTTATCTGCTCTCACCAGCACTGTGGCTCTGACAGCATACCCCAGAGCAGTAAGCAGCAATGTTGTGGTTATTTGTTAGTGCACTTTAGAAGGTTCCTTAATTAAAAGGACAGACTTTAAGGTATCATGTTCCTTACTGAGATGTGTTACTTGCACCCATAGTCTCTCTTTGCCCTTTATTGGGGCCAGGTGGGTGGTGCACTGTGCTGCTGTGAAATGAAGCACAGGCTGCTTAGAAAGCAGTTTCACTTACTGTTCCCAAGGCTGTAAAAATCGTAATAAGATCATGGAAGGGGCATGTCTGAACACAGAGCTTTCATATTTTATGAAACAGGATGATAACTAGAGACTCTTGAGTGTGCAAGGAAGCAAAACTGAAGAGCTGTAAAGCTGAAGGAAGCACGTTCTTGATAGCTGGGTTAGGTCTCACTGCTTAATGGCCTGGGAAATTTTACTGTATTAGGACACTGGAAGGATGCAAACATCAGGCAACAAAGGTATTATCGTATCTACTTCTGTTTTTTTCCAGAAYGAAGGCTTAAGACAACTGGTTGGTTTAGTCTTTTGTTTTCATGACGCTTTGAGGGTGTTATTAATCTCTTAAGGAACAGCTATGGGAAAGTTTTTCTTAGTTCTTTAAACAGCCTGGTCTTAATTTCCTTTCAGAACCAAACCTTTTTTTTGCTGTTGTTTGCTTTGCTTTGCGAAGAGTAGTGCTTTCCAGGATTGCACCACGTTTCTTGCAGAGATCAATGGGAAGCTCTGCTCCCGGGAGCTGATCTTGCGCTTCCGAGTGACGAGATGAACATTTGCTCCCGTCCTCCAGCCTGCTTCCCGTGGGCTGGAGCCTTCATCCGCTGCCCAGTGTCAGCAAGTTCTGCCAAATCCCCCTACCAGATGCCCTCCTTCATAGCTGCAGTTTGAGCTGTGCTTCTCCCGCAGCTTTGTGTAGAAGAACATGCCTTGGGTTGCTTTCCAAGACAGAATTTGGAGGAGTCTGTTATTTTACTTCTTTTTTTTGTGTCTTTGTCCTGTCCATTTTTAACTTGCAAAGTTAATTCTTGGTCTGGGAAGTTTTGGTCACAATCTGGAGCACTCCCACCTGTGTTTGGGCCACTGCCCAGTGCAGTTGAACTCTGTTTTTCTTTGATCTTGTAGTAAAATGACTAGCCTGTGATAAAAGGGTAACCTAGAGTCTCCTTCTCACTCTGAGCTTCCTTCTCCAGTTACTTAGATTCTTTTCTGTCCCTTGTGTCCTTTCTGAAGCTTTTCATTTTGCATTTGGTCAAAGGGCTTTTATGATTTTGCTGTTCCACTGATTAGAAAGTGAAGTTTTATCCTTTTCAACATATRAAATAGATATGAAAGATCTGAATTTAAAGTTGGGAAGCTCATACTTAAGAAAACAAAATCGAAACTGTTAGAGGAGCAATTTATTTACACTTTAAGCCAATCTCATATCTCAATCTCTGGGCAAGGTTTTTGCTGGCAATGARGTTTTTGCTACTGAAGAACTGCTGGGCCAGGTTCGGTACTGAGTGAGTACCGAACTCAGTTCTGAACTGAACTGAAGGTTCTCACGAGGAACAACCAAGATATTCAAACTCTCTTATTCATAGAATTTGATAGATCTACCATATACAATAAGACTATTGTAGACTTTAAAGGTAGAAGGTGACAATTCTACAGAACTCCCAGATGTTGTGGTATTGAATTACATTGTTGAGTTGAAAGTCTTGGATGTTTCAAATCCTCCCCTTTTTGTCCCATTTTTATTTTCTTTCCCGTTGTTCAGTGTTATTTCTGTAGAAGTGCCCATAGGGAACGTCTTATTAAAAGCAGCAGAATTATATAAACAGCTTATATTTTTCAGTCATGACCTGTATGTTCCACTTTCTAGGCCCAATAGGACTGCTTTAGGTTTTTAATTTAGGCCCTGTCTATTTTGAAATATTTGATGTAATGTCCAGGGAATAGTACTTAGTACCAAAAGGGTAGAATTCTCTATTTATTCATTGAATAGTTATGAATACCTGAATTTATTTGTTAGAAATTCTTGAAGGTAGCTGTTTTT